TGAAGACCCTGGAGTGTGCCGAACACTATGCTGGGGACTCCAACGCCACGAATCAACATGACTTTTGCATGTTGTAGATCCTGAACCCTGCCAGAACACCATTCCTGGGACATCAACACCGCGAATCAACGTAACTGTTGTGCCCTCACAATCCTGGGTCCTTCCCGAACATCATGTCTGGCACGTTGACAATGGGAATCCGTGAAACTCTTGCAAACGTTGTACAGCGCATGTGCACGGCGCTAGGGCGAGAGCCACATCTTGCTTTGAAAACGAACCGCCCTCAATCCGTGAAGCTTTTGCAAATTTCTTAAAACGAATGTGCGCGGCGCTGAGGCGAGAGCCACATTTTGAAAACGGCCCGCCATCGACCCGTGAAACTCTTACATGTTTTTGCTCAACCATCCTGTGGTGCTGGGTCCAATGTTGGTACACCCCTCACACGTACCGTGGCCCCATGGGGAGCTCCACTTAAGGCCCCGGTGGCTGCGCCCGCATGCCGCCAACCCCCCATTTTGGCACAACCCTCACACGCTTCGTGACCCCATAGGGAGCTCCACCTAATACCCCAGTGGCTGCGCCCGCATGGCCCCCCCTCATTTTGGCAACCCCCTCACACGTTTCGCGGCCCCATAGGGAGCTCCACCTAAGGCCCCAGTGGATGCACCCGCATGCCGCCACCCCTTCATTCTAGTATACCCCGTTCTGGCTGACCTCCGCGCCCCCCTGCGGGCTGCCCCAGCGGCAGCGCCCGCATGGCGGCCCCACCCCATGTCGGCGCTCTCTTCAAGCATTTCACGGCTCCGTCGGGAGCTCCACCGATGGATGGCGGTTCTCACACTGGCGGTACCAACATCTACATATGGTTGGGTCCGTCGCCAGGATAATTAAAACGAATGTGCACGGCGCGAAGGCGAGAGCCACAATTTGAAAACGGCCCGCCCTCAATCCGTGAAACTCTTGCAAATGTTTAGAACGAATGCGCGCGGCGCTAAGGCGAGAGCCACTTTTTAGAAACGACCCGCCCTCAATCCGTGAAGGTCTTGCAAATGAATTAAACGAAATGTGCGCAACGCTGAGGCGAGAGCCACATTTTGGAAGCGGCCCGCCCTCCATCTGTGAAACTGTTGCCACTTTCGAAATTTCAGGGTCGTAAGTGGTGAGAGAATTTCACAAACGAAACGCCCGGCCCGCACTATCGACCGGCCTCGGGGGGCGACATGGAGGCATTATTTAGAAGGAACAGGAATGGAGGAGGAGGAGGATGAGGAGGAGGAGGAGGAGGACGTGGAGGAGGAGGAGGACGTGGAGGAGGAGGAGGAGGAGGAGGAGGAGGACGTGGAGGAGAAGGGAGGAGGAGGAGGGAGGTGGAAGAAGGGACGGGACTGGACTAGACTGTGACCAGGGCGCCAATACCTCACGAGGGGCTGACTGCAGCCCAAACGATGCATGGACACCCCGAAGCTGTGCCGGGGCTGCCTGGCGCACTTCCATCGCCTTCCGCCGCGGACGGGGCCACGTCGGCGCGCACGGGCGCGCCCTGGCCCGAGCGGCGCGCACGCAGCTGCCGGGGGCGAAGGATCTGGGGATGAGCAGAAGGGTAGAGACAACTGGATTGAAGGGGAACTGGGCCTGGGACAAATAAGCAGACACAGATAGCCACATTCCCGATGCTTTCCCACATGTTCTGGGTGTCTGTCTTCCCCCCCGTTTCCCATGTTTTCTCATGTCTTCTGGGGAATCGACGGTTAATTGTGTCTGTGTGTTTGTTCCCCTCCTGATGGATGTCGGATGCTATACTTCTCCCAGAACTCGAGGGTGTTGGCCGTGAGGCTGGCTGTTTAGAAACCTCTGTCCAGATCGGTGGTTCCCTGGGAATGCCCAGGCGGACAGCTATGCTGACCTGGAGGCCCAGGGACACCTCGAAACCCCGGCATCAACAATCTGTAATACATAATTCAAAAAGGTCATGGATCCCAGACATGGAAAAACTCAAGAAGGTAACTTGAAAGCCCCCCGCTCTAGCAGCATGTGCACTTACCAACATCCGCAGAAACTATACTAGCCGGCCGCTCTGCGGTTGATCGGGAATTTCTATACATAGAAGACACGCCCGGTGCGCCCAACGAGACCAGCGCATCGCGCGCTGGTGACCCGTTGGGCGATTTTGCGAAGATGTCTCGAGTGAGGGCGCTGGATGGGGACACGCCCGGTGCGCCCAGCGCATCGCTGGAAATGGTGCCTGGGGGTGCGCTGGGGACCCGTGGCGCGATTTTGCCAGGATGATGTCTCGAGCGAGGGCGCCGAATCGAGACACGCCCAGCGCGCCCGGCGCATCGCCGGAAATGGTCCCTGAGGGTGCGCTGGGGGCCCGTGGGGCGACTTTGCGAGGATGTCTCTAGCGAGGGCGCCGGATCGGGACACGCCTGTCGCGCCCGGCGCATCGCCGGAAATGGTCCCTGGGGGTGCGCTGGGGGCCCGTGGGAAGACTTTGCGCGGATGCCTCGAGCGAGGGCGCCGAATCGAGACACGCCCAGCGCGCCCGGTGCATCGCTGGAAATGGTTCCTGGGGATGCGCTGGGAGGCGTTTTCTCGCGCGCTGGGGTCAGGATGATGTGATTTCTACAGAAATTCCGTCAAACTAGCAGCACATGAACGCACTACAACCATAAGAGGGTATTTTTTGACTTGGATTGGGGGGCAACAGGCGTCTTGGGACTGCAAGATCTGTGGCTTCACTTCTTCACGCCGTGACCGAATCACTGCCTCGCCCTGCCCATGCGTGCGCTCATTCCACCCACAAGCTGTATAGGTGGCGGGCAGGGGATAGGGCTCCCAGGCAGCTCGGAGGCGATGCGGACCGACGACGAGGACCAGGAGAGGGGGGTGGGGGGGCGGGCAGGAAAATGGCGAGGACAAGGAGACGGAAGCCGATGAGAGAGGGGGAGCAAGAGCAGGAGGAGGACGAAGAGCTCGAGGACAGCGATGGAGCCGAGGGCCGGGAGCAGGGGCAGGAGGCGGCGCGCGAGGTGGCGCGCAAGCGCCTTCGGCTTCTCCGCGGCCAGGGCGCTGGCCATCTGGGCGTCGATCTCCTGCAGGCGCTCCGGAGGGGCCACGCTCCACACGCCGAGCAGCTCCCGCACGCCGCCGAGCCGGCCGGCCGCGACGCGCTCGCCGATGCAGGGCCAGACCTGGCCCAGAGGCGGAATCACGCCGCACTGGAAGGTCGGCTTCGACACGTGCGCGGCGGAGAGAAGCGGGTCTTGCGCAAGAGCCCTGCGCGGGCCGCCGGCGTGGCGCACCGCGTGGAGAAGAGGGCGCCGAGGCGCGCCCTGGCGCGGGAATCTTGCGCGCGCCTGTCCGCACTGTCGACCCTGGTTCCTGCCATCGCCCACCTGCAGTTACCGGATCCACTTCTCCTTCATGGTGGCACTTTCCTCTCGGCCTGGTCTGATCAGATTGGGAGTTTTCTCTGCAGAAGCCCTGGCCAAAACGTCTCTAGATTTGGCTCGTTCTTGTCTGCTTCGAAGGGGGGAGGGGCCCTCAGCAAAACTAGGGCGGCCCAATTTGGGGGGGGGGTTGGTTTGGGACCCCTTTCCCGTACCCGCCTCCTCGGCCTCGCGGACGAGACTCATGCGCCGCAGGTGGTTGTATGCAAGGGAGAGGTCCTCTCCGCTCAGTTCCTCCAGCCTCTCTCGGGACAGCAGGTTGGCCCGCAGTAGCGCGAAACCCTCGTGAGTCTGGCAGTCGGACCGCCACCGCTGCAGCAGCATGCGCGGGCCAGACGATATCTTGGCGGCTCTTTCCCTGTCCAGTGCCCCATGAACAGGGACATCGGCTAAGTGATGAAGGACTTTGCCCCGCGAAGAAATACCCAAGCGGTGGCCAAACCCATCTCCGTTCTTCGGTTGCCCTTCTCCCCTATGGCTCTGACGATGTTGCAGGACGACATCATCACGTTGACCCCAAGCAGCCCCTACGTATAATATGCGCAATGCCATGTCTGGGGGTGCGCTCTACGGGGTGCAACCTGTGGGTTGCAAATTATGCGATTCAGTAGATGTCGTTCGCTATAGGGTGCACCCTGCGCGGTAAAACTTTTGCGGCGCAAGCAAATGGGGCCCATCCTACGGGGTGCATGCCACACAGGTCCAACGATGGAAGCCATAAGGATCAGAGCGAATCCAAGCGGCCACGGGGAAAAACTGCGCACAGGGCCAGCCTGCGTGTGCGTAGTTGGGAGACTATAGGAGACAACGGGAACCAACATACATCGAAGCGAGCACCGCGGCACGCCGGGCCAGGAAGGGGAAACCAAAAGTGTCACACAGGCTCATTTGTGGGACCGAGATCGTAGGAAACAATACGAATAAGAACCCATCACAAATCAAACGGCCACCCCATTGTGCGGCACAAAGGACCAAGGAGGATATCATAGGAACTCCTGGGGAACCATATAGAACTCCACGCGGCCACAAGTGAGGCCACAGGTCTAGTGGGTGGGTGGGGGTGAAGTAAATCATCATGAGCCATGCTAATTCAAGCGGCCATAGGAACCCACGCCGGTCCAGGGGGCGCAATGATCATCAATAGAAATCCATGGGAATCCAAGCGGCCACCAGAAATCGCAGCTCGCCTGCCCGTTTCCTCGGGACACGCGCACGAAATCGTCAGTGCGGACGGACACGGCTAGGGGGAACAACATAACTCTAGCAAACCAAAAGGGGGCGGGGCGATCTAGGTTTGGCTGAGGTGCGGGCTCGAGGGCCGAACGGGAAATTACCAAACCTAGAATCAACCTCGCGACTCCAACGAAGGACCCATGGGGGCCCACCCGGAAGGCAAGAACTTCTGGGGCGCGCCCAGGAACCCAGGGGGTCCGGCTTCCGCGGAGGAAAGAAATCACTGGCGAGGGGTTCGAGCACGGGGTTACCCCCGCCCCAGATTCCGGAAGAGGAAAGAATTCTCAGCCGCGGGGGTGCCCGCGCGAGGGGTCCCACCCCCCCAGCGCAACCAGAGGAGGAAAAGCGTGAGAGCCCAGATTGTAAGTGCAATACAGCAACAATGCAGATTGTAAGGGATTTGTACTAGAGGCTTGTACTACGGCGCACAATTCTACAAGTTGTAACATGATACCAGTTGCATTCTAATACCTGCACGGAAGGACAATGTGCTCTCTAGGAGCAACTGCGCGCTGGTAGCCCCAATCGTACTCAAGTACTACTTGCACGGTAGTCGGAGGGGTTCAGGGGTTCCAATGGCAACTCGCGCGCGGAAGAAGAAAATAAAGCCATGCGCCGCCAAGGGTCCCGGGTTTAATGGGTCGCCGCGAAGGTTGACCCCCCGCGGAAACAAAAAAAAAAATCCGGCCAGGGGGGGGGGGGGTCAGGCATGAATCGCGGGGCTGATGACCTAGATAAATGAACCAAACCATAACTGTTGTTCCAGATGTTTTCTCCTCCTCCTCCTGCTCCTCCTCCTCCTTTCCCCCCATCCCTTTTCCCTCCGCCTCTCCCCTTGTGCCTCAGCCTCTTTCTTAATTCCCCGAAGCGGTCCCGATGCTCTGCGCAGAGGGGTGGGGTAGCGGGAGGAGCGGACGTCTTTATTGGCGGACGCTCGGGGTGAGTCCGCATGGACCCACGCCCCCCCTTCGGGGGGCCGGGTCCCACGACCTACTGTAGGGTGGGCGAATGGAAAAGGGATGGCGCAGCCTAATCCAGCGGCTACGGAAACAGAGTGGTGGAGCTCCCTCTGGGGCCACGCAGCGCTGTACTGGGTGGGTGAACATGCCAAAGTGGGTGTGTGGGGGGCGCATGCAAACGGTCCCACCGGGGGCTTGGTTTTCAGGACGCATGCGGACGGTCCCACTGGAGGCTTCGGTGCAGCTCCCAATGGGGCCACGAATTGGGCGGGTGAAAATGCGAAATTGGGTGGGGGGGTGAGGGGCGCATGCGGACGGTGGCAGTGGGGCCTTCGGCGGAGCTCCCTATGGCCACGAAGCGCCGTGCTGGGTGGGTGAAAATGCCAAAGTTGGTTTTCGGAACGCATGCGGACGGTCCTACAGGGGCTTGGGTAACTCCCTATGGGGCCATGGAACGCTGTACTCGGTGGGTGAAAATGCCCAATTGGGCTCCCGGGACGCACGCGGACGGTAGCCTTGGGACATTTGGCGGAGCTTCATATGGGGCGACGAAACGCTGCACTGAGTGGGTGAAAGTGCCAAATTCGGTTTTCGGGACGCATGCGGACGGTCCTACTGGGGGCTTCGGTAGCTCCCTATGGGGCCACGGAACGACGTACTGGGTGGATGAAAATGCCAAGGTGGGTGTGTGGGGCGCATGCGAACGGTCCCACCGGGGGCCTCGGTGGAAGCTCCCTACGGGGCCACGAAACGCTGTACTGGGTGGGGAAACGCATGCGGACGGTAGCACTGGGACCGTCGGTGGGGCTCCCTATGGGGCGACGAAGCGCTATACTGGGTGGGTGAAGCGCAGGCAGGAGGGAGGAGTGTGCCACGAAACGCTGTACTTGGTGGGGGGGACGCATGCGGACGGTAGCACTGGGACCTTCGGTGGCGCTCCCTCCGGGGCCACAAAACGCTGTACTGGGTGGGTGAAACGCAAGGAGGAGGGGGAGGAGTGATGGGGGAGGAAAAGGGGTGAGGAGGAGGAGGGCGAGGAAGACAGGAGAGGAGGAACGCGGGGACCGTCTCTTCAAAACGGGAACCCAACACCACAGGATGGTTGGGAACATGCATACTATTCCAAAACATTCGTCACGTGGCAATGCCGCTTGGAACCGAACAGCATACCCACTCCACTTGCCACGTGGCTACCTGGAGGTGCGAAGAAACAGTAATCCATTCACCCTACTTGGCACGTGGCAGCGCCGCGGGGGCCGAAAGTAATACTATGCCACCCCACTCGCCACGTGGCAACGCCTGCAGGCGCGAAATAACGTATTCGATACTCGTCGTCACGTGGCAGCGCCGCGGGAAACGAAACAAACATTCTGCCACGAGGGCGGCAACGAGGACGACGACGAGAACGACCACGACGACGATTATTATGACGACGACGATGACGAAGGCCAGGGAGGCGAATAACTATTACATCCTATCCTCCTCCTCGTTCTTCTCCCTCCCCCTTTCCTCCTCCCTCCTGCATCCTCCCTCATCTTTCCTTCCTCCCCCATCCTTCCTCCTCCCCATCCCCTCCGCCCCCCTCCTCTCTCCTCATTCCTCCTTCTTCCTCCCCTCCTCTCTAGCTTCCTCCCTTCTCCTCGCTATGGTCCTCCCCCTCGCCCACAACTTACTGCAATGCGTTACGATCTACATCAGTTCCTGATGTGATGCTTCTCACCTCAACTCCTCGAGCCGAGGGCTATCGAACACAACATGTCATGCTATGCTCGCCTACGCCTTGCCTTACATATAAAAACACCAACATGCCCCCTCAGCAAACAATAGTTTGCGGAGGTCATGCCGAAGTGTTTCCCACCTCGTCTGAAACTCGCCGCCTGTACACCAGCTTCCGCGTCGCTTCCGCGCGGCAACCTGGCTCGACCGCCCAATCTGGCGTCCGACCGCCAGGTGGGTTCACTCTTGTCGCAGCCTCTCAAGCCTTCACCTGTCTTTCCGATCGAACCTCTCGTCTTGACTCCAGCAGCCCTCGCATGCGGTAGGAGTCAGGATGAAACGATGCTGCTGTCGGCCTTTGGCGTACGTCGCCATCGATTGTGTAGCCACGGTCCGCCTCGCGCCCTTCAGCTTGGGCTTCTTCGTCCGCACCTCCCCGACGGCCTCAAGGGAAGTGCCGCGGAACTCCGTGAGCTTCTTCACCGCGTAGTGGTGCATCACGCAGCCAACCACTAGACTGATCATCATGATCATGAACAGCATGGCCCAACTCATCTGTGATGTCGTGCATGGTGTCACCGTCGTCGGACACACCACCTCGTAGCTGCCCACCACTGCTATCTGGTTCTCCGCCTTCGTCGTGCTGAGCATCATCGCTGCCGCCAACAACGCTCTTGATCCTTTGCTTCTGCCTGCCCACTGGCCGCTGTCGCCACTGAGCGCCTCATGCTTGCTGGTCTCGAGTCTGTCTCCGCTGTCGAATCCCATGCCAAGCCTCGCTCTCCACTCCACGAACTTCGTGGCCTGCAGTGACTTGGTGTAGCCGTCTGCTGTGTTGGTAGCAGTCGGCTCTTTGTGAACTTTGAGCTTCTTCTCGTCGTACTTCGCTTGCAGCCACAGCAGCCTCGTCTCTATGTGCTTGAGCGCTCCACATCCAGTCCTTGATATAATGCCGCGAGCCGCCGTCGAGTCCAGCCTGAGCTTGAGCTCCAATGGGAATCCTATGAACTCCATCAGCTTCTGCATGTGGCGGCCCTCCGCCACCGTGGTGACTGCCGCGTAGTACTCGCTCTCTCCGGAGGAGAGTGCCTGGCAATTCTGGCCCTGCGTGAACTCCCTGAGGTTCGTCGTGCCGAACTTCAGCGCGCAGCCTGATGTGCTCTTCCTGTCGTTAACGTCTCCTGCCCAGTCTGCGTCTGAGTAGGCGTCCAGGTACTCGGTGTCGTCGCTCTTCGTGACCAAGATCCCGTAGCCTGCCGTGCCCTTCAAGGACCTTGCCAACCGTCTGAGCCCCTGTATGTCTGGGTCCCTCGGTGCGCTAAGTGACTTGCTCAACTCGTGAACTGCGTACGGGATGTCTGGCCTGTACTTCAGAAGATGCCTGAGGATCCTGGCGCACTTATTGTACGACTTCTTGTCGACTGGGCTCACGACTGGCAACTCCAGGTCC